AGTACCTATGATGATCTTACCTACTAATTGGAGACACCGACAGATCTGATTAGCCCGTCCGCCTTGGCGTCCAAAAGAGCCTTGTAGGCGGCAAGGCGTGCATCCTTGCCTCCCAGGGCACTGTGGGTGAGGTATAAATCATAATACGCTAGTACCCGTCTTGTCAGCTATACAAATAAAAGGAACAAGACTTGCATGATCCAAGGTTCGCAACCGAGTCTTTCACAGCAGCCATCGTGCGATCGTAGGTAAAATCACTGTGGAAGACCTTGGAGGCTGCGAAGGGGGTCAGATAGGTGAAGAGTCAGTTGCCAGGAGCTCTCAGCCGCACGAGATGACCTCACTGATAAAGATGTTTTTGCGCTTAACACCACTTTGCCCGACCCCAACACCGACCTGAACTTCATTCTCATAGAACCGCGCCGAGTCAATCATTCTAATGATCCAACTGAACTTTTGAATCTGAGAGTGATGTACAATACGCACCGGGTAACCATTTTTAAGGGCAACTTTACAAGCGTCCGCGCATTCCTCGTTCAGGTAGACACCAAGCCCAAGAGTGGGCATCTTGTAGCCTAGACCATTTCTGTTGATCACCGCGCTATGTGCACCCAAGATTGCAGAAACTCACCACTGGAGAGTGTGACGTCCGTTTCAACCATGATCTAGAGCTGAAGGATAAAGACGGGGAAACGGCCAACTATTTATGTTAATCCGAAACGTACAGCGCACTCGAGAGCTGACGAATATTATACGCACGGCTGACATCGAACCCCTACTGGGTAAAATCAAGCAAACGGGCATCAACGTGGGACTTGCAGAAATCGTTTTCAAGAGTCGACACTCTCGCTTACAGCCCAAGGCATGGTTTTGCCCCCAATTGATCGCCACGACCCTGGTTGAGGCGCTACTTCTGGGATAGAAGCTAGCGGTCAGTACTTAGTGTTGGCGCCCCAAAGCGGTTACATTCCTCGGGCTTGATACATTGGAGACAGTGGGAAAGAATCTCACCCATATGCACGTCGTAATCCCACGTCGCTTTCTGTGAACGCCAATTTCAGTCCCGCGGCCCGGGGGGGTATGGCAGTAGCCCAGCCTCTCCCTCTTTCCCTTCTCATAGAACCTCTGGATTGGAAGTTGAAGACGGTAGATATTATGCAACGTCGATCTTGAGACTTGGGCCAAAGTATGTTCGATTGCTTCTTGTTTGCCCTCCTGTAACTACAAACCCTTTTGCAATCTCGACACCATCCTTCGTGCAACACTGCCCTTCCGTCGTGGACCAGATTTGAATCGAAATTTAACACATTTCGCATCACTAAATTGCCAGACGTTGCACAAGATGTGTCATGCTTCCCGCTGGAGATAATCAGATTCAGCTGGATGCACATCGAGACTCATAGACCATACCGGACGTTCTCTAACTTATCGCCAGGTGCGCGAAACTATAAGCATGGTTCATGTTCGTAGTCGCTCATCTCGGACGGTGATTCTCCCAAGGGTACTATCCTCGAGTAAATGAATCGCCGCCAAAACGACTTGTGGTTTGTGTCGCAATTCGTGACGGAAGACAAGGCTAAATTTATTTATCTTGGCGTCCACCTAATTAATGAGAGTACCGAACCCACACTGAGTCAATTGATTGCACTCCCTGCCTCCCACGACTGAAACAACAGGGACACTCACCAGATGGCAGAAACCGCTGATGTGTCGACTTCACCTAAACTGAGCCCAATTGTCTCCGGATCAGCTACTTGCATTAAAAATTGTCGTTGGAAATTTGAAGTCAGGGGGAAATGACTCGGGCTGAGCGCCTGGCAGCGAGATTTGTTGGACACTGCCAGCAGCGCGACAAAATTCCTATACATCATGATTCACTTGCAATTGATAGTGTTGATGTAGTTTCTGAAATCCACTAGTCTTCATGAATGGCGTCAATATCGGTCAACTGCCAGTGGTAGTCTAAGGAAAGAGAACAAATATTCAAGCCACCTATGCAAGGAACTTCAACAAAAGAGCCCGAAGGCCCGGGCCTTGTGAAGCTTACATGAGCATGCATGCTGTGATTTAGCTTTTTAAGACATACACAAGCTGTACATAGGGTCTTACATTGCGACATATATGCTTCGGGCAGCATATATATTCACATATATGGTTCAGGCTCTTTTGTTACTCCGGGCCCCGAAGCCATCGCAAAGCCGCAAGCTTTCTCTTGATGAAAGAGATCGTTTCGGGTATGTCCGGGCTCTTCCAACATTCAACATTGTATGTTACAATGGAAGAGTTGAAAGTACATGAGGCGCGCAGGATGGTACGCCATGACATTATTGTTGATCCATACTAAGAAAATCGCTTTCTTAGATGCAAGGCAACCAGAGAACATTTTCCCCGCACCACTCATCAGAATCAACAACATCCGAGCGCATCTTAAAGTTAAATAAACCCAACGCACTCATTGGAGAAGGCTCAACTGTCACTTGAAACTGCATGACAGAGTATAAGAATAATCTCCCTGTAGTGTGCTTCCATTTGTTCAGTCGTGAAGCGGGTGAGCGCTTGACGCATGCGTCATGTTCGTGAGTACGAATTGCATACTACATTAATTTACTGACAGCCCCCGAAGCATCGCCTTGACAATGATTCTGCCAAGACGAGAGTACCGAATAATAGTATCCCAGCATTGCCGCATTATTGTGCCGCTTCAAGCTGCCTATTCTTTGTCTCCAACATCGCCAACAACCCTCACAAGCTAGCGTTTTGGCCAAAATGCTTCGAGGTCTCACTCCCACCATTGCGACCATTGTGCTGGTGTTTTTAATCGACTTCACGGCCGCAGGAAACACCACTTGTGCAGGGAATATGACACAATGGTACACAGATGCTGTAGGAGAAACAGCATGTGAGATTCGGAGTCCTCTTTTCTTTTTTTTCCTGACCGTCCTGAGTTGAATAGGTGTGACATATCAAAGACTGAGACAGATATGCAACCCTAGTTGTATGTTGTATTTTGCTCTGTGTTCATCAAAACGAAATAAAATTTGAAGCGATCGACCTAAAGATCAAGTCCCAAACTTTCGACCGAATACTCCAGGCGATCAATGTGACGATCAATTACGTGCGTCTCAATCAGGTCCCTCTTGTGCCAGGCTTACATTCGTGGATAGAGAGTTGCTGCTGCAACTCCATATCGTGGGCGCTAAGTATGTTGTGTATGAAGTATGTTTTCTTGACTGGGTGCTGGAAAGCACTGCGCTAACTTACAACCTAGCTGTCAATGGGATGTAGATGGCGGGTCGACTTCGGGCATTGACGCAGGTAATGGTTCAGTGGTGTCCATGAGATTACTAGAACTAGAATTTTCTAGGCATTGGTGCATACGGGTTATATCGTTCTCCATCTGGACCGTTTTGTAGTCCAGGAACGAATCAATAGTAAGCATCGTGGTGCTGAAGTTCCGCTTGCTAGTTGTTTAAGTGGTTTCTTGTCCAGGCTTCCTAGTGACATACAGGCGGCAGTTTGCAACAAAGACATCAAAATCGCCAATTTCTTATACGACCTCTTCTGGAGTGACGGCCCATGGTGAGTGTCCCGCTCATTGAGCGTGATGAAAATGCTGATGGCGCGTATACAGGTTCTAGTGCGTGAAATCAGATATTCGTTTTTCATCGAGCATTAAAGTACACACCGAAGTGTATACACCATGAATACCGCTTCCAAGGACGAAGCGGCGACAAACAACAACATGTATACCCACTGCAACAGCACGACAAGCTCAACCTTGAGCTCAAGCGCTAGTCACAGTACAAGCGCTAGTTACAGTACAAGCACTACCTCAGCGGCCCCATCCCAAACATCAACCGCTGCGCTTGTAGATTCCGCAGAAAGTTCTAAGGTCCCCACAATTGTAGGTGCTGTAGTCGGCAGCATAGTCGCGCTAGTCGTGGCTGTCATAGTAGCACGATCACGCTGGCGTAAGCACCGACGAAGGCTTGTCCGCGTTCCATTGGATACCTATAGCCTACATGCACCCGCGATGGCAGTGACGTCGCCATATACACTTACTGAACCCAGTGAGTCTGATTACATTTCCTGTTAATGGTAATAATGCTAATGTTCAAACAATGCAGATTCAGACACGGCACCAGGGAACCCGACGTCGTACGGGTTCAAATATTCACGCAATCGGGGTCATCTACCAACATCAAGCAATCTCCCCTCGACATCTCCCTCCACTACTGCACTAGCCACGACTGCTAGTGAAAGCGGCCAGAGCTCATCGAACCTTCTTAGAAATGCAAACTCTTCCGTCAGCGCGTCTAGGCACGAGGACGCAGGGGTTGTTTCAACTCTTATGCGCTCAGGGTCTGGAAGATTGCCTCCAGCGTACGACCCGAGCTGGGAATTTCGCTCCGGCGGCTGAATCCCGATTCAGAATACCAATCACAGGAGTCTCCCTTACAGGTCTCAGCGGACAACCAGCCTAGCCTCCGGCGCACCAAGCGATGATGCGATATCACACTTCTTTACCTACTGTTTGATGAACAATTTTATTCCGTGCTTTTCGACGCTGTCCGACTAGAACATATCATGCATTTTGCACTCCAGTACGATTCTAGCAAAATCATATCTCATTTTAACGATCCGACATTCTTTGTGCTAACAGAACAGCATTCGCTATGCACGCTGAATATACCCTTTCATTACCATTTGATTCAATCTAGATATACCACACGTACTACTGATCACTGTCCCCCCTGCCATACTATCTCGAGATACTGTTCTGATCGTCCTATAGGCCTTTCATTATTCGCTTTTCATATCCCGTAACTGACGACTACCTTATTCGCTTGGGTTCCAGTCATTAAAATTGATGGTCGTTGTTATCGTCTTCAAAATGTGGTCCGTGGAATTTTGGACTGAAACCTCTTGTACTTATTTATGAGATTCTCTGCCACCGCTTACACATAACCGGCTTCTCTGTTGCTTTCGTCCACCAAGGCTTTCACTGCTTGGGCGATTTCAACCGCACCCTAGCAAGAAAAAATCATATCACTGCTACCGTCAGACAATCGATTACAAGAAGATTTGCTCACGGGAGTATCGGAATGGCAGCATATGGAAACCTCAGTGACATTTGCTCCGATGTCAAGCAGCTTGCCTCCGACCGTAGAAACTTTGTGGAGCTTTAGAAGGTTTTTGACCTGCAATCAGATGAGAAAGGAGATGGATGAGAGACTGGATGCTGCGACTGCCATAAACCAAGAAAGGTATTCACTCGTTGACGCACGACTTCAATGGGTACTGGATCATGCTTCCTAGAGTCCAAGATACAGGTGAATGAAGTAGCACTGTAATAAGCAGATGCACTAACTTCGTGATCAACAATTTCCCCTCGTCATTGTAATCAAGGTCAGCAAACCACTCTGAACTTTTCTCGTCACTTCACAGTCATGCACTTGAGTACAGCAGTGACAAACCTGCAATAAACGGCACACCCAGCTCTTCTGTAGCTTGTTGATGAGCTGTTCCAGCGAGCCCCATAAAGGCTACACCTTGAGGACCGGCCGCGCTAGCTTTGAAGACCTTTGTGACACCCACAACTGCCCGTGCGAGGATCGATGGAGCGTGCTGTCTGACCATAGACAGAGCCGTGGGGTTTGATCTATGGCCATCGCTAGTTACTAGACTGTAGAAATCGGTACGGGAAACGTACGTGATTCATTGGAAGGCCGTAGCGTTTTAAAAACCCGTCCAATGCACCGACCTGATAGATGAAGCAGGATTCTAGCTCGTCCTGTCAACTCGTGAATATTTTAATGCATTTAAATTCGACTGAGATGTCATAGCTCACCTGGCTCAATTGCCATCTCACGACGCCCAAAGCCTTGTAAATCAGGCAAGGAAGGGTGGGCACCTACGAGAACATTGTTGGACTTGGCGAGTGCAACTGTCTTGTTCATGACTGAGAAGTCGCTGAGCAGAACTGTTAACACACGAGCAGCTAGGAATATTGATAGGTGGGACTCAACGAAGCATGGAATCCACAAGCAATATTTGCTAAATGGATTGTCTTCATAAGACCTTCGTCATCTCCCTGTTTGGTGCTCTCTTCAGACAGACGAGGTGACATTCGTGGTGAACTGATACATACCATGGTGTACAAGGAGAATCCCTTATGTATATAGCGGTTGACGCGATGGACGGCTACGCGCTTGCAATGATATCACTTCACCTCCCCCATGTCGCAGTTTACGGTCGCTTTCAACGGTTTACTCATGGTATATCTTAGGTGTAGTATCCGTCTGCAAAATCGGCGTGATGAAGGCAGATGAAAAGACAATGTCGATTGCTGATAAGCTCGGTGTCAAGTACCACAGTAGTTGACAGCAGGATGACCTTATGGTCCGACAGACCTCGGCCCGCTGTTGCATCATAAGACATAGTTAGTTCTCATTTGTATTCATTCTCATCACACGTGATGAAATACCAGCACATGCGAGCTTTTTCATAGGTAGATGTACCAAAAATACAAGCATCACATCAGCGCTGTGAGAACGTCCGGAACGATGAACAATATTAATGCATAATGTTACACCTTATTCACTTAGCTGCCAGTACTTCCGCCTGGACGCTATTTTCTCGTGCGGAACCCCCGTTAGACTTCCTGGGCGTATTCCATTGTTCGGCCGATGCAGTCTGAACATTTTGGTCAAGCAGGGCTTGATCTATACGACCTACATGGTGAGCATAACGAGAATATTATCACGAAACAAAGCTACCTTCACTAGGGGCCTGAGTTGCGTGGCGGCGCTATTTCTGGTCACCCAAGATGGATGATACGCAGGCGGAAGCCTATGTGCAGGTGCATCATCGGGAGGGATCAAAGTGCCAGCATCATCTTCTCGGCTGTAAAGTGCTGCTTCCGACACACTGTCATTCATAAGATATGACGCGCCAGTGGATGTGTTTAAGGATTGGCCCCGCTCAGGGCTCAAGGAATGCGTCATCGGGAGAGTAGACTCTCTATACCCATGAGATCGTCGAACGGGACTGAGACTGCTATATCTCTGAGTGGCTACTAGGGAATGTTGTGAGTCCGTGAGTGCACAAATTAAGAGTGTAAGTACCTGGTTCGGTATCCGTGGAGGACGCTCCATAGGACAAGCTGGTTGTCAGGGAATTGACCAAGAAACGAGGATGGCGTATCCTGGATCATGCGAGGCTTCTTGTGTCGCCTGTAATAGAAAACTCCACCGAGCACTGCGATTATGGCAAAAGCGACGCCACCCACTGCACCACCGATGATGGCTCCCTGCGCACTGGATGATGTAGAATTTGCAGAGCTAGACGGGACTGCAGAGGCAGCACCGATGCCAGCGAGAGTTGTAGTAGGGACCGATGTCGATGTAGGAAGGGATGCTGAAGGTGAGACTTGGTTCGGGCAAACCGTGAAAGTGTTGTTGTTGTTTGCTATCTGTTGTTCTTGTGCATATTCCACTGTCCATCGACTGGGTCATCGTGAGGAATGAGCTACTGCACCCTTTTATCTTTGACTCACTAGAACCTGGCTCAGGGTAAGCCAAGTACTGGCAGGCATGTATTTCAAATTGAAACTTACCAGGATCCATCACTCCAATAGGATCTATTGTACAGAAAATTATCGATTTTGATATTTTCGTTGCACACAGCTTGCTGGACGATTGACGGAAGCCTAATTATATCAAGTGACGCGTGAGTGGGTGCGCTGCCTTCAATCTCAGAACACTCACGATTGATCTGTGATTGGAGAACATCCCCCGAGATAAGTACCATAGTCACCAGGAACTGCAGAATAAGTGAGTCGTCATTTTCAAACAGAATAAACTCGTATTACCCGCGGTAATTCCAACTGCATTGCCGCTTGGATCAGCATCTAGTTGGCAACTGTATTTTGATACAGGTATTATGAGCGAGCAATGAAAGAGAGAAGTATGTATTACTTCATGCAGAGCATGCTTAATGCGAATGCGACAGAATTGCAGCAACAATCTCCTAATCATCAGTTCAGCAAGAGTAGTGGGTCGGTACGACAAGAAGAGGCCTACCAACTTCATCATTGCAACGGTCACCAGGGGTGATCGCCGTAAAATTGCCAACCACATCTGATTGTTAAGCACGTCAGTGCATGCAAGAGAAAGACTTAGAGACACCCACAATCACTGTTGCATATTTGTCGAAGCCGCTGATATGTCATGCCTGGCTTATTAATTTTCCATGTGACCACTTCAAATGTAAGTAAGGACTTACAAGGCGTTTCACCAACCGCGCTTGTGTACCAATCCAATTGACCGCTAAGACACGTCGTATTACCGGCCGCTAAAACAGCACCTGCATAATACAGATATAACAGGCCGACCCGTGCAAGTCCTTGCATACCTGTCATTACCTGATGATCTACGTGACGCCCACAGTATTGATATCGAGGTGTGCGAGGGCCAAATGTGGGTAGTCGACTTGACACTGGGACATTAAATATCTGTCCCGGGCCATGTCATCAACTTTGTTCGGCAGCAGTGCCACGACGAAAGCGCTGGAATCGATCAAAGTTAGAAGGACTCAATGAGTCAAGCCTCATCTCTTTCATCTCATCAGCTGCCCAGAAGGCAACAATCAAGTTGAGATTTGATCGGAATATAAATCAGCACCGGTGTTCCACTGGCAAAGCGGGGATACGCGCCCTTTCGCGCCTCATTGGAAAAGTGTTTTCCTCTCCCGTCCATATGGTATATTGTTCAACTGTTATAACTGTCTGGGTCGTGTATTCTGGTAGGTTGGTCCGACTCCTAAGCTTGAATCCTAGAGTCATTAGCGGTAGTCAGAGTGAACGATTTTGAGACGATTCAGCGTGCGATTACAGGACGATTCAAAATGCGAAAATCGTGTGAAAATCGCAGTTACTTTGAACACCCCACTACCAGAACGGATTCTCAACGCGATTCTCGTGTAAATATGTGTGTATGCTAAGTACCTTACAGGTGATGCAATAGATAATCCTCCCTTCGGACACACCAGTGACACGGACCACTCAAGATGCCGCGACGGACGCAAAGGCAAGTGCAAGTACAGAATCTAATTATGTTTAGTGCCTGTACGTGACATCACAAAAATTGCTCAACCGTGATATTACCCGATATGGACGGTAGGATGGCTCAACATATGACCAAACAATTCTGTGTGATGTCATCAACACCGCGATGCGACATTGGAATACAAGCAAGTATCTCAGAATGATGCCTCCCCCTCACCATACTATCACAACGACATTAAGTAGACACTTCTTGTATCTACATGACATATCATAGAGACTACAATATATAGATAATGTCACATGGATACTGTAATTAGGGCAACAGAAATGGAAATGATAATTTGATAGTAAATGTGCACTGTCGTGTTGTGTTGTGTCACAAATTCCAAATACAAATCATTTTTCGTTCCTCGGTTTCCCTCCGGCTATTTCTAGTAACCGAACCGGTCACGTGACTTCACTTCCTGTCACACCTTCACCTCTTCACATATCACCCGTTGCTTCTCCGATTGGCTCCCCTACTCCATGGGCTAGAACGATCTCACTTCCAGAAGAAGAACCGGTTGGATCTTGGGTTTCTATTTAGTAACCGTCTTACTCATTTGCTTATATATCATGATGTCATGATCAATCATCCGCAATATTGTACGACTCTTTTCTCATTGGCTGATTTCTTTCATACTCAGATATCTCCTATTCAATGTTATGTATATAAGTAGGTTGATTAGCATACGTACTCCTTAGACTTAACCTCTTCGTTTCTACACTTGTAGTAAACTTAGACGTTCATGCTCAATCCTATCTTGTCATCATCATCTGTGACCAAGTCCTAGTGATTGTGATCTGATCTTTACCATTCGGTGAATGTTAGCCATAACATTAGGTTAAGTCTTCTTACCACTCTGACTCGAACTTTGTCTTGGATGTCGCCGTTCTCGACAAACTTCACTGTGCTATTCTGCTGAGATTTATCTCGCGGATTACGTTTAATTCAATCATCATTCTCCGACATGTTTTGATTATACCAATCTCTTTACATTGCTCTTTAGTAGAAGTGAACCAGGCCCTCGTCTTACTACGAGCTGCCAGTTCATAAGGATCAGTGACACTTAGGTCCTGTTTCCGCACATCTGCAGTTAGGCCCAAAACCCTGCCAACTGTACACTACATATCTGCTTTCTACATAACAGAACGGCACTCGCGACTGTCCTCTCACAGTCTAAATACTTTACAATAGGAACCTAGGGTGCTAAAAGTAGACCCAAAGTTCACCGTGTCTTTCACGAACTCCTCTCAAGTTCTACTTATGTTGATGAACTGCTACACGCGCTGCATTCGCACCTTTGTCATCATTGCCCCATCATACAGATCCCGCCTTGTCGCATCTAGAGCTCTTGCTTTACACGACAACACTTCCTGTCTAGCCAACAACTGCTCATTCTTCAATGTCCGAGAATCTAGGAGAAACTGGGATCGTTGTTTCAGAGGATATGGAAGTACCAATGGCTCCGGCAGTGATACTGCCAGTAACAACTCCATTGAGAAGCATAATTCATTCTCCAGTGCCACAGCAATGGCTCCCACCATTCCCATCTGTAGAATCATCCACCACCCCAATCAAAGGCCCTTCTGCAGTGCACGGCATCTCCGGTCCCAGGTTGAGTACCATCACCCACCGAAGCATTTCAGATGCAATCAACGCTGTTGTCACAGAAGAAAGGGAGTACACCAGACGCTTGATAGATCGCATGCAGGAGGAGATCAACACTCTCAACGATGGCTTAGTAGTAGCCAACAACGAGAACACAGACCTGAGGGTCAGGGTAACAATCACAGAGAACTCCTTGGTGCTCACAGAGAACACCATCATGATTTTGCAGAACTTGTCTACAATGAAGATCCCAGGCTCTACATCTGGGACTTCAGGCTCTGACCTCAAAATGGCAAAACCCACGGACTTCACGGGAGAGAAGAACTCCATTGACGTTGACACTTTCCTCACTCAGCTTGCAATATACTTCACGGGTTACCCTGGAGCAACAGAACAGCAGAAGTGTACCTGCCTTGTTTCATTCTGTCGAGGACCTGCAGCCAAATGGGCGGAAAGTATTACCCCCATGGCTCTCAGCGGCAAGCCCGGGTCCTATGACAGTATCAGGAATGACATGAAGGTTATGTGGACCATCATCAACAAAGAGGAGAAGGCAGCAAGAGATTTAGAAAATCTTCGACAAGGAAACCGTACAGTCGGAGAATATATCTCCATCTTCTGTCAGAAGCTTGCCTTCTGTCACTTCTCCGACTACGAGTTGATGTGCAAACTCCACTTTGGACTAGACCAACAAGTTAAAAACTCCTTGGCCCATATCCACCCTAATAGGAAAGACACTCTGGAGGGATTGATTAGGGAGGCACTCATAGTCGGGCAGAATCTGGAGGAACTTGACGATGAAAGGAAGATGAGTTTTACACCTCGCCGCCCATGGCAAGGTGCTGCTGCAACATCTGCACCAGTAGCACCCAAGACCACGTCACAGGGAGGAAATGCGATGGATGTTGATGCAACCAGGACAGGAGGTAGACCCTGACCTCAAGGACAGCCGGGACGAGATTTCAAATGCTACCATTGTGGAGAAGACGGGCACATGGCTCGTAACTGCACAGGAAAGCCTCTTGACAAGGGCAAAGGACCAGCTATCTGTGCTGTCAAAGAAGAAGAAGTTCCAGCAGTGAAGGCACTCACACTGGAAGATATTAACCGCATCGTAAATGAGAGGATCTGCCTCTCCACCATGTATAACCCAGCGAAGAAAGAGGAACAAAAGGGTTTTTAGATAGATTGAAGTTGACTGCGAACTTAGATCAGAAGAATCATTTTTCCATTCTCGGTGACTCGGCAATTATGTTTACAGAAGTATCAGAAGTTTGTTTGGGGAATAAACAAGACCATTTCTACTTGCCAGTTATGTTGAAGGGAAAACACAAGAAAGCAGCCGTCAATGCTCTAGTAGACTGTGGAGCAATGAACCTCTTCATCAGTGAAAGGTTTGTAGAAAAGAATCAAGTCCAAACCAAGCAGTTATTACAAGCAATGTTGATCCGCAACATTGATGAAACTACAAATTCTGCCGGACCAATTACAAGATATGCAGATTTGAAGCTCACGATAGGGGACCATGAGGAAGAAGTGGCCTTTCTAATCACAGATCTAGGAACTGATGACGTCATCATTGGAATAGATTGGCTACAATACCACAACCCCAGTATCAATTGGAATGAGGGAAAGGTGGCATTAGACCATTGCCCGGTTAAATGTCAAGAAGCCAAGGTCAAGGACAAAAAGACCAAGGCGAGGAAGCAAAGAGCCATGAACTGTTCGATCCTTTCAGTGTTACCCGACTTGATACCAGCAGAAGATGACGAAGATGAGGATATTGAGGAAGCCTCTATCCATCATCAGAGTCAACCAACAGGCTTCAACTCTTCACCTTTGTCGCATGAATCGCAAGGACATGTCAGGCTTGAGGATGAAGAACAATTGGATCTTGCTACTACTGTTGGACACAGAACTACCAAGAATGTGCCTGAGATTGAGGAGGTTGAGGATGAGGATTCATCACAGAACATATGGATCAGATATAAAAGCTCTGTCGCATCAGAGTTAGTGCAGGAGAAGAAGAAGAAAGAAGAAGAAGAAGAAGAAGAAGAAGAAGAAGAAGGAAAAGAAGCCCGTAGAAGAGATGGTGCCAGAATGGCTCCATGACAACCTTAAGGTCTTCTCTGAAGAAGAATCTACTCAATTCCCTGAGTCAAAGAAGTGGGATCATAAGGTAGATCTCAAGGACCCTAATGACCTTCCTCCCAATGCAAAAGCATATCCCTTTTTGCCCGCCGAAAACGAAGCATGCGAGAAGTGGCTCAAGCAAGAATACAATTTGGGATGTCTGAGAGATTCTGAATCTCCAGTAGCAGCTCCATTCTTCTTTGTTGCTAAGAAGGACGGGAAGCTCAGACCTGTCATGGACTATCGGAGGTTGAATGAGAAAACCATCCAAAATGCATACCCTCTCCCTCATTCTCAGGATCTCATCAATTGTCTCTCCGGTGCAAAGCTCTTTTTGAAAATGGATGTTCAATGGGGTTACAATAATATTAGAATGAAAGAA